TTTTTTTTTTTTGAGACGGAGTCTCACTTTGTCACCAGGCTGGAGTGCAATAGTGTGATCTTGGCTCACTGCAACCTCCACCTCCTGGATTCAAGCAACTCTTGTGCCTCAGCCTACCGAGTAGCTGGGATTACAGGCATGTGCCACCATACCCAGCTAATTTTGTATTTTTAGTAGAGATGGGGTTTCACCATGTTGTCCAGGATGGTCTCGATCTCCTGACCTTGTGATCCACACGCCTTGGCCTCCCAAAGTGCTGGGATTACAGGTGTGAACCACCCTACCCAGTCCATCATGCTTTTTTGTAGGTTGAGCTGGAATGATCTGGGTGACTAATCTGCCACCTGTTTATCCTCCCTCTCCCCATCCCTAAGTGCCCTGGAAGTAAGGATTGGCCCCCTGTTTTTTCTCTTGCTGTATGCCCAGCATGGAGATCTTTAAGAACTTTGGAATGAATGAACACACTTCTGTAGGCCCCACAAGGCTTTGCCTGAGGATCTCAGATTCCCAGCCAGGGTCCGTGGAACAAGCCAGCTGCTTGTTGGCTGGTGTTGTCTCGGGCTTTGGCTGGTGGCAGCAGGCAACAGCCCTGTGTCCCTGGCACCTGTGTCCAGCCCTCCTCATGCCAGCCTTCTAGGGACAGAGCTGCTTTCAGGTCCACATTAGCTACAGGTGCAAAGCAGCACCTAGAGTGCTCGCAGAAGCTCTGCTGTTTCAGGAATCACAGCCCCATTTTGCAGATTAGGAAACCAAGGCTCAAAGAGGCTCTGACACCTCTTTGGAGGGAGATTGTGGAGTGGATTTCTCCCAAGAACATCATGAACTGCCCACATGGGCCAAAGGTTTTGTCTGTGCAGAGTGGAACATCTAAGCCTGTCCATTTCTCAGTCGGACATGTGAATAGTGTTTTAAAAACATTTTTGGTTTGATGTCCTGGCCTACCAGGGCTGCTGTGGGTGAGCAGCATTCCACCTGACTCACTGGGTCCCAATTCTGACTGTGTGAGAATTCCCCAGGGCAGCCTTCCTGCTCCATCTCTGGCACCTATACCAAAGCAGAAAGAGCTCGGGGCTGACTCATGCTGCCTCACATCACTCTTTGGTGACTTTCAGCACATCCCTCCAAGCCTCAGTTTCCTCCTCTGTCACTGGGGCTAAGTCCCCTCCTCCTTGCAGAGTTGTTGGGGAGGAAGAGTCCCACCCCCCCGAGAGGTTTTGGGAATGCACCCCCGGAGGTCCCATTGCTGTCCCACAACTTCACGGGCTGTGTGACCAGCAGACACGAGAAAGGGGAGGGCAGCTCATTTTTCAAACAAAACGGTATCAGATGTGTGATTTGGTTAAAAAAATATATATTTCTGGCAATGGCTTCAGCTTTGCTCAAGAGAGAACCGGGGTGGGGGGAGGAGGTGGAGGGGAGGCCGTTCCAGTGGCTTAAAAAACCCCAGATAAGTGTACGGTGATTAAGCGCAACCATTAGCTCTAATGGGCAATAATTGGTGATGAGAAATAATTTTCTAGGGCACAACTGCCCTGGTGCCCCCACGCCCGGCCCCAGCAAGGGGACGGCCAAGGGGCTGATTAACTCCCAGGCTGGAGGAAATGTTGGAGGCACAAAAAGTTTCCAGATTCGAGGGTAATTGGGAGAAGTTATTTCACTTTCCACATCAGGCTGATGAGGGGCCACCCACCTGCTGGCAAGGGAGGGGCTCGGTTGGCTTCCTGCCCAGGAATGGAGGGCCACTGTGCGAGGGGCAGGGGTGGCCAGCACGGTTAGAGGGTGGGGACAATTCCCACCTGTGTCACTGCTGGCCATGTGACCCAGGGCAAGTCACCACAGGGTCCCTTCTCTGTCCTGACTTGCTCCCCAACCAACCTTTGCGCAGGCACTGGTCCTTTTCACCTCAAAATTCACAGGCAAACAAACCCACCAGCCAGGACTTCAGGCTTCCCAAGTGCCTCCCTTCCCCCTGAGCCTGCCCAAGGCCCTGCTAGCCTTAGGGTACCTTTGTGGGATTCAGGGGAAGATGTCCTTCTTGGCTGCTGGCTACAGACTTCCCTGAGTGTGCCCATCAGGAGCTGGCTGGACTCCTTGGAGCTCCTGTGTGCAGTGCACAACCTGCACAACAGCTCTCTGCAGCCTGGCTGTGCTCAGGTCTTCATCTCCTTCCTCCTCACCCTGCCCAGTCAGCCTGTCCCCAGAAAGTGCTCTGGGTCACTTCAAATGGGTGCCAAAGGCCCCTCCTTTGTGCCCCCACCTGCCTGCTCCTTCCTTCTTGAACTCTGCTGCTTCCAAGACCTACCTTCCTCTCTTTGAGAGGAAGAGCCTCAGCCTCATTCCCCTCTTTCCCAGTCCGAAGCACAAATTCTCCCATCCCCAACCCAATCTCTCTCTGAAAGCCCTTTGCCCTGGGGACTTGCCGCACACCCTGATCATCTCCTTCCCAGACCTGTACCTCTCCCTGGGTCATAAGTGGGCCCCTCTCTCTTCCTTTCTCTCCCTCTCCCTCCTCCTCTCCACGTGTGTGTGCATGTGTCTTCAGTGTGTTTTTCCACAGTGACTGATCCAGGTAAGTGAGACAGGCATGGTTCCTGAAGCTAATGAGACTTTGTGCAATAGGAAGGCCTTTCCCTCCCCTGGCTCAGGGCTGCAGTGCCCTCCAAGGCATGAGACTGAGCTCTCCGTCACAGGAGGCATGTAACCACGGCCTGTATGGCTGCACCCCTAGGATGCTGCAGAGGGGAGTCCTGCCCTTTGAGGGCCTAGGTGGGATAATCCAAGGAGGTGCTGGCCTAGGATGAGCTGAGGCTTCTAGGCTGACCCCAGGGCAGCCTCCTCTAGCTGTCCTCTCTGCCATCTGCAGGCCAGGGCATCAGCTCCCAAGTTGCAGGTGAGGTCAGCCTCAGGATACCTCCACCACTGACCAGCTGCCGAACCTCTCTGGGCCACAGTGTCCTCCTCTGAAAATGAAAATCATAGTGTTACCAACCTCACAGGACGGACCTGAGGATAAAGGAGCTGACCACAGAGGTGCTTCCAGGACTGACTGGGCCCAGAAGCCTCCAGGACAGCAGCTGCTGGGATCGCTGCTTGGGGCACTGAGACATCAGGGCTGTTCCTGCTACGGCTGCCCTGCTCAGGCTGTTGCCCGCAAAGTCCTTTCTGTATGTGCGGCACCCCCAGAATTGCACAGCGTCAGTAGTAAAGGTAATACTCTGTGGCTGGTGCTGTTTCAAGCCCTATAGATGAGTATGTTTATTCTGTTTCTCCACACCTCTGTGAGGTGGGCATTCTTGTGACCCCCATTCCATCGGCGAGAATCGGGGGCAGCCAGATTCAGCAACCTGCCCCAGGCCGGGCGGGCGCTGAGTGCTGCGCCTCCTCTGAGCCTAGCACTCTGGCTTCAGGGTCGGTGCTCGCAGCATTTCAGCTGTTTGATTGACTCCAACGGCACTTACAGCCGTGGCCTTCGCCGCCGCCACCATCCCCGTCCGGGTTGGAGAACACAATGCACCGCGCACAGGCGTTGCCAAAGCCCACACGCGCCCTTCAGCCTCCATCATCGTGCCCTCTTCACAGATGAGCAAACGGAGGCCAGGCGTCACCGGCAGGCGGCGCTGCGGAGCGCGAGACCCGGCACCTGCGTGGCGAGCGGCGGGCGCGGGGGAAGCAGGTAAGGTAAAGCCAGGCCGACCCGGACCTGGACGCTCACCTGCAGGGGAGGGGGTCTGCGCGGGGCGGGTTGCCGCCCCTCCCGGGGTGCGGGCGGAGGCGGGGGCGGGCGGGGGCTTTCAGCAGCTCGTCCGCGGAACATTTGCATGTAATTTGGGAGCGGGTCACATGTGGGAGTCATCAGGCGGAGGAAAGGCTCAATCAGGGCCTAATCACTGTCTGTTTGGAGGGGTCTGGGCCCAAGTGAAAAATGAAAACGGGGCTATTTTGCTTGAGTGACAGCCATCAGCGGCCACCTTTGACCTCCCCACTCGGGCTGGGTCTGCCCGAGCTTTAAAAACCAATCATCAGGGAAGGGGTGGGAGGGGATCCCATGCCTCGGCTCTCCCCTCCCCCATCCTTTTCCCTCCCTGGACCTGGGTTTGTAAAATTCATTCATTCACCACTCCCATTCATTCTTTCAACTGGTCAGGGCCCCTGGGGCAGATCCGAGATTTCAGTTATGACAGTGGCACTTGCCACCCGGCGACCTTAGGCAGGTGACTGCCAAGCGTCAGTGTTCCCATCTGCGGGATGGATGCAGGAGGCACGCAGAGAGCAGTTGATGTTGGCAAGGTGCTGAGGGAGGCGGGGCCGCAGGGGCAGGGGGGCGAGCCCTCCCTCAGCCCTCCCCCTAAGGGGCAGGAGCTTTGCGGAGGAGGGCCACGAGGTCAGGTAGGGTGCAGCGGCTCTGCTTTTTGCATGAATGCGTACCCTCCCTCCCCACATCCTGCGCACAAGGCCCAACCTCGTTCCCAGTGAACCAGGTTGCGCCTCTGCCAGGTGAACAACATAAAAAGGGCCTCTGCCAGGTGAACAGAAGAGAGGGCACACGCAGGCCAGGGAGACCGAGAGAGAGCAGGGAGGTGCTGGGCTGCTCCCGGCAGTGAAGGGCAGTGACTGCTCCCTACAGCAGCCGTGAGCTCGGGCAATTTCTGCCCTTGTTCGCCCCGACATAGAGGCACTCAGCGCACTCTCCCAGAATGGTCTCGGGATCCGCAGAGACCCAAGGGCCTGGACCCGCTGGTGTAGAGTGACCAGTGCAATGGCGGCCTGCAGGCCACTGGGGGCAGCAGAGAGGAGCCGCTCCTGGTTCGGGCGACACGAGCTCAGCGAGCAAGCTTCTGCCAGCACCGCCTGTGGGGCCGGCTGCGCTCACTGCACCCGCCGCGGCCCGCCGTGCCTCTGCCCTCCCTGCCACCCTGTGGGACCCGTTTGCCCCACAGGGGCCCTTGGAGTGGCCCTCCCACGGCCGAGGCCGGGAATCCCAGGCAGCCGGTGCAGCTGCGGGTCGGTGGCCCTTTCAGGCCTGAGGAATTGCTCCGGGGCCGGGGGGCGGGCGGGGCGCCCGGTACATTAGCGCCTGCTTTGCTCGCTGATGGTGTTTACAGGGATGTGGAACGGGCCTCCAGGAAACCGTCTGGCAGGCCGGGCTTCAGCAAATGGATTGCCAATTAATCAGCATCTATTTATGAGAACGTTTAAACCATTATTAATGTAGTGTAAATAAGGAACCGCTGGCGGCCCAGGGCGGGAAGGGGGCCATCTGCCGAGGCTGCCATCACATTCCTGGGGCCTGTTCCCGCTCCCAACCTCCTGGGGAGGGGTCCCACCCCTTGTCCTCATCCGCAGCCAAGCCTGCTTCTCCAGGTGCCGGCTTCCTCCTGCTGGGCCCTTCTGGTTCTGAGAACTGCGGCTGCAGCCTGCAGAGTTCCCAAGTTTTTCACCCAAGATGCTGAACAGAGGCGTGAAGGGTGAGTCCCGCCTCAGTCACTCGGCAGGAGTCCGGCAGCAGCCCCCGGCAGGCTGTGGCAGGGTGCTTTCCCACCCACGGGGAGACCGGGCAGATGTCCCACACTGGGCCTGGCTTCTCCCGGCCTCCTTCCTGCTCTGACAGTCATCTATCTCATCCTCACCCAGACAGAGCTCAGCCCCTGGAGGCAGGGGAAGAGGGGTTGGGGCACTTTCCCAGCCCCTCCCTCACCTGTGGGCCACAGTTCCCAAGGCCTCCCCCACCCCCAAGGCCTAGAGGCTCTGAGCTTCTCCCCCTAGACCATCCCAAGGATAAAATAAAGTGACTTGTGCAGCCTGCTGGCACCTCCACTTCTCTCCAAAGATATCACTTGAGCCGTCTGCCTCCTGCCTGACCTGACCTTGAGCCAAGCTGGGTAGCCTCTCTGAGAGCTGGTGCCGACCAAGACAGGGCAGCTGACTGGGGGACTCCAAGGTTCTCAGCCTGCTCATCCCCAATGTCCTGATGATTTTTCTTCCTAAGTATCACCTCAGACGGCTTTTTCTTTACCAGTTGTACCCATTTTACAGATGAGAGACAGGTTTAGAATGGAGAAGGAGCTGCCTAAGGCCACAGAGACAGGGGACCAGAACTGGAGCGAAGCCCGCCCTGTGCCTGGTGCTCTGCAGGCCTCTGAGGCTCCTAAACGACATGGCCACATATTTTAAGACCTTTGAGTTTTTATGAATGCTCCCCAGAGTTTCCCAATCTCTGTGCTTCAAGAGCTGCACTCACCTGGGCCTGCCTCCTTTCCCTGAACACTTTTCGTGGAGGTGACCGCACACCTTAGTACTGGATGTCAAGCAAGAGCAGTTAGGCTGAGAGTTCACTCTGCAGAAAAGAAAACAAATAATGAGTTTGAGCATTGGCGCTGGGTGGTGTCAAACATCTTTGGTAATTCTGAGGACTTTCCCTGCTCTGGGAAATTGAGGTGTTGATCTAATGGGGACCCTGGACAGTGAATTCCATGAGGAGGTAGCAGCATGGTGCTGAGGACAGGGCCAAGCCCTCCAAGACAAGGGGGAGCCACTCCCTTCTGTCCCCACCCTGGGAACAAGGCCTTCCCTCCCCAGGTCTCCGCCCTGTGCCACACTGCTAATACTTACGGTTTGTGTGTTGATTTCTTCATTCAACTCTGTTGAACTTCATCCCCCTTGAGGATGGGGACAGCATTTTCACCCCCATTACATCCTGGTGCCTCGAGAAGATGCCAACCAATGTTTGTTTGTTGACTGACCATTTGGGAAACTTCTGCTTGGCACTGCTTCCCCAGGCTCCCTCTTTTCTCTCTTGTCCCAGCCCCTCTGCCTTGCTGGCTTCAGCCCTGGTCACTCCACCAACCCCCAGGGCCACCCCAGGGTCCAGAAGCATGGAGGGGTTCAAGGAGCCAGGACTGGACCAGACAGCCTTTTAGATGGATATTTCATCTGTCCCAACCCACCCGTGTGGGAACACCAGGCCTCAGGACAGCCACCTGCCTGTGGTCACTCAGCACGCCAGGAAGCTGAGGTTTCTGATGTCCTGAGGGGCCCCCCAGAGCCGCCTCACACCCCGGGACCCCCAGCCGTGCTGCACTGGCATGGTAGGAGGAAGGAGAACAAAGACGAGGCATGTGCCCCTATTTCCCAGCCCCGCTCCCTGCCCCCTATTAGCCTAGTGAGGCTTGTTTATATTACAGCAGGAATTATTCCAGCCCTAATCAGAGGCCCTGCGAGGTTTCGGCATTCGAAGTATTTCTTTACCCAAGGACACTCTCCAATCCTATAATTTCCATTTCCCCAGACACCCCTGATTGAAAGCAAACATTTTATATTTGGAAAGGAAAAGGGCTGTGTGCTATTCATAGCCCAGCCTGGTTGTCCAGAGCTAGGCCCTGGGGGTCTGAAGGCCTGGAGGGATGGACAGATCTGGGAGGGCGGCAGGGGGCATGGCTAGGTCCCAGCCAGGAGAGGTGTGGGGAGATCCCAGCCCAGGGGTGGGTGGACCGAGGAACAGAGGGAGTCCCCCTGCCACCAACTGCCAGGCCAGGGATGCCTGGCATTGCACAGCCTCCCTGGTTGAAAGGGCAATGTGTGGGAAGGGGGTGTTATGGTAGCAGAGCCTGTGGGCTGGGAAGAGGGTGGGTGGGGGTGCAACTTGAGCCTATTCCTCTTCTGTGCCCCCTTTTCAGGTAGCTTCCCTGCCTCTTGCAGGTGAGGATAGGAGGCACGCTGCAGGGGTGGGACTGAGTACAATACTAACAGTGAGCCTAAGGACAGAGTCCCAAAGGGACTTTGAGAAGTCTACTGTCCAGGGGACTCTGTCTCCACTTTGGGCCCCTCCATTGTCTGAGATTCAGCTCCCTCCTCTCCTGCAGGTGCTGTGCACCCCTCTTTAGTCACACAACACACCCATTGTTCCACAACTTAGGGGCTGGGAAGCACACAGATCCCAGGCCAGTCTGCTCCCCTCACCCTTCCCTTCTGAGTTCTCTCCTCCCTCCCTTGATGTGGAAGTCCAGGCAAGAACCATGTGTCCTTCACAGGAGGACATCAGACCCCCGCTTACTTGAAGCACTGTGTATGCAGCCTCTTCCGTGTGCCACACACCACTAAGCAAGCCTTTTGGAAAGATGCCTCCATCAATCCTTAGAAGCAGATATTATGATTCCCATTTTATGCATAAAGAAACCAAGGCTTGTTGAGCTTAAGTCGCCATTGTCCCTTCTATGTCCCTTGGACCTCAGTGCCTCAGCACTCACCTCCTAAGCCCAGTGTGAATAAACGCAGGCACGGTGTGCTGGAGGTCACAGCCCACTTGGCATGTGCCAAGAGGGGCACACGCTTTATTCTTATTTGAATGAGTGGATTTCAGGGAGGCAGGGGAATGCAGAGCGACTGTCAATTTCTGCAGCGTATCAATCTGTATTGTTGGAATGATTAAGAGGCTGCATTTGGAATTTAGTTTTTTCCTTAAAATTTAATTTTTATTTTTATCAAAGTCATGCATGTGCTGTATTTTGTTAACTGCTTTATTGAAGTATAACTGATATGTGGTAAAATGCAAACTTGTGAAGCATGAAAGTTGGTAAGTTCTTAAACAGCTTTTTTGAGATATAATTCACATACCATACAATTCACCCATTTAAAGTGTAAAATTCAGTTATTTTGGGTATATTATTATTTTAAATT